GGCAAACGTCTCCGCCTTACTAACTTCCGTCTTTTTAACTTATACAACGGTAAAATTAATTTCTGTACCAAATACCAAAGTAGCATTAGTCCATCGACTCATTCAACTACTCGTTTTTACTTACACAGCTGTGTAAGTCAGTATAATTGTTATGATCTTTTATTCACATTTTCTATGTACTTCTAGTTATATTTTGTATTGGAAGAGAGGCTATCAACAACTACAAAGGCCAATTGGAATTTCCATTACAAAATTAAGATACAATATTACTGGACAAGAGGGTAGACGCATCTCGTAGTTCCAGGTTTTTTTCTGTTCGTGGGACACCGACGATTATAAGAACTGCTACTACTACCGAAAATTCTGAATAAGTGATCTTAAATTGAAGAAGTTTAATTAAGTTTGTAAGTATTTATTTAGATATGGACACTGATATATGGGATGCTACTCAACACTCATTTCCACCAATGGTAAGGTATCGAAAAACGAAATATTTTCTTGACTTTTCACTGGGATGTATTTTAGGAGAATAATGCTTTTTTCATTGTAACTCGTGAAACGGTTGCTCCATATGATATTAATTACATAAATAACAATACAGAAATGTAAGTTTTCGAGAGGTGTTGAACCCATTTCGATCAATGAATAGTTATTCCATTTTGTGTAGCGACAACCTTATTAGTGCGAGTAACCTAGCTCGTTTGACAGTTTTTATTAAATCGACTGTAGCATTCAATGAATTCGGCAAAATTTTGTGAGTAATCAACTTTATTGGAGAATATATATTATAATTCTTCCTGTGAAATATTTTAGGAGAAATATTCGATCAGACACAAATTTTAGCTGTGTATATAACTCAAGAAGTAATCGATATTGTCCCGTTTTTCGCATTAGTACAATCATTGATGAATGTCAGATTAGTCAGCAGAAGCAAGATTCATTGTTGGAAGAGGTAAGTATAATATTACCATAACATGAAGATAATACGAAGCTCCATGCTGAAAAAATCATTTATGAGGAAAGGTTCCTGAGTACCAACTTGGATTTTCTTTGAAACATAATTCATTATGGGTTATTTTTTATGCCGATCTCGAATCTGATATCCGTTCATCCCCGTACGGTCTTACAGAACCTCTGTTCAAAGTCGGTGTCTTCAGAAAACCGTAGTGAATTTTCATCTGAACAAACTTTGATGGTGCCAGATTGTAGAGTATATCAGATAACCGCTGTGGACAAGCTTTGAGAAATAAAGGACAAGGTTTCATTCACTATAGACTGTATATGGATAAAATACCTCAATCATCCTTTTTTTGGCTGGATAAAACACTGAAACTTTCATAACTTAGCGAAAACTTGTCCACTGTTTCTCAAAGCTTATATGCTCTGCAATCTGGCACTATCAGACTTTATTCAGACGAAAGTTCACTATAGATTCCTGAAGACACCGAATTTGAATAAAGGTTCTGTAAGACCGTATGGGGATGAACGGATATCAATTTCGAGATCAGCATAAAAAGTAACCCGTAATCAAGTATGTTTCAAGGAAAGAGCTAGCATTCAGGGACCTTTCCTCGTTAGAGTTTGTTGTTAGAAAATAAAGTTTTCTGTTGCTATGAAAGATGTTTAGATACATTCAGCCTACTTTGTGCTATCCTTCCTACTGCGATGTTGTCGGCATTTTATATCAGTTCCGAATCGAAATAAGAACCGCGTCACCTTATATCTAAACAATAATAACGGTGACGAGAAGCACCTAGCACAGGGTGTTTTAAGTTTTTCCATGAGTCTCATCTGGTTTCCTAGAAGATAATGTAGGCTTCAAAAAAAACGCAGTTCCACTTAAATATTTAAACTTTCAAATGCATGCGTGAGAAGACTAAAACTGTACTTTTTGAAAATGATTCTAAGGAAATTTTTTGACAAGATGATGCAAAATCAGTACGGTGAACATACTTACGATAGAATCGCGTCAAATGATCACTTTTTCCCGCAATATCACGCGTATAGTTTACAAGTGAACTGTATTATAGATAAGTTCTGAGGCTAAGGCTTTGAAGCCATCTTTTTAATCAAATACATTCTGATAGCATCGGTTTGTAGAGCACCCCGAGTTAACCATGGAGCAAAGGTTATACATACGTTCGGAAAGGCCTACTGTAAAGGGCAAAAATCAGAACTGATCAACTCAAGTTAGAAATGATTTAAGTTCGGACTTCTGACTTGTGCTGATACATCAAGTCAAATCACATATATTTTCAAAATTTCTGTGCATTTCTACTTTAGGTAACAATTCATAATGGTCTGAGGATTCTGATGTGACAATCTCTAAAAGTGCACGTATCGCAAGAAAATGTGTCTCACAGTAGAATACAAGGCATCAGTTTTAGTAGTAAGAGACAAAGCTGTTTTGTATGATTCTGTTCGGTGCATGTGCGCTATATTCTCTGATGTGTTTATATACTGTGTGAAACTTACTAGAGCAGTGCCATGGTCTGAAGTTGGAAATTAGGCTAACTTGACCGGAGAAATCCCATGACTTCATCAGCCTGCTAGAAGTATGACATAAAACTGAAATTTGGAGCCAGGATGTCAGAAAATGGTCCTTGAGTCAACTGGTGTTCTCAAGACTCATATCAAAAAATGATTTTTGTAGCGCTACAAATCCACATGAGAAAAAATAGATTCTGAACGCTGAGTCTTGGAAACACCCTAGATCTACTCGAAGACGGTTTTTTGACCATTTTTTGATTTTGAATTTGATAAAGTCATGTTACATTTCTACCCTTCTCATGAAGTTACTTGATAGACCGGACTGACAAATTGTTTTCCTTAGTGTTGCAAAAATTGAATTGAAATAAACCCAATAGTTCAAGTTTTCAAATAAATTTAAGAAAAAAGTTTAAGTTTTTTATCCTTGAGTACCACCACATTTTCTGGATGATTGACTTGAAGAACGTTTTTTGTGTAAGATCAAAACCCGATGCTGTTGAGTGACGCTTTTCTTCCTCCTTGTTGTCGTTTAGATATAAGATCGAGTTCTTCTTATTTCAGTTCGGAAATGACATAACACACCGACAACATCGTAGTAGGAAGGATAGACCAAAGCAAGCAAAATGTCTCTAAACGTTTTTCTACTACTCTACAGAAAAACATATAAATTAAGTGTTTTAATGCCATACTAGTGTGAAGAAGAAAATAAAGTTCATGAAGAGCCGCGGAAAAGCATTTTTTCGTATTCAGTACACCCGGTAATCCAGGAGATTTTCTATTTTTGGCGCGACATATTGTCAAACGTTTAGGAAAATTTTTCGAAGAAAATGACGAAAAAGAATTTCTGTAGGAAAATAATATTAGTTTCGAAAAACTAAAAAAAGAGACCAATGCTCTCTTTCATTTGAAACCGAGTTAACGCTTCTACGATAGAGACTACGATCAGGAGACATTTGAGAAGTCGAGCCAAATCCACTGGAATGAGAGCAAAGTGTCAGCTTTTTTTGTAAATCACTTGGAGACCTGTAGTTTCGTCCTTCGGTTCAGCTGGTCGTGCTCTACAGTATGAAGCAGGTCTTGTCACTGACTTCAATACTTTTGTATATCGTGATAGGTTTCAGTCTAGAAACAGCTGAAGCCCGTGGTTTTCACCATTAGAGAGACAAGAGATTGGAAATTCTGAATCATAGTTTGGTGTTAGGACCCCATACAGTCAGTTTGAAAACCTTTTAACATGATTTTTGTGATCACCGTGATGAGTTCTACTAGTCCTGAAGATGCCATACGATTGGCAGCAAGTCGATGTAAATGCGGTACATTCTCCAGAGAATAACCTTCGTGCCAAAATATTCTTGAATTGAACAAAATTTTGCGGTTGTGGTTTACATACTCTTCAGAAAATGATATTTTTACGAATTGTATTCTAGAACAAGCAGTATGGTTAGTTCGTATAGAACTCTTTTCTGGTTTCCTTTTTAGGGTGGACTTATCGAAATTGGACAAGTTTGGAATTGTAATTTTGATTTTAACGAACTAAATTGTTTTCCAACATACGAATTTCGCCTGTTAGAAAGCACATCAAAGCAACTTTCTCCAGGAATCAATTTTAGGTTAGTTTTTGTTTTAAAACAAAATGCTATATTGGTTTTATTTTTCTATGTTAGCTATAAGAAGGAAACATATAACTCAAATGGAACATATCTTCAGTCTGTAAAAGTGTATGGAATTAGGCTCGTTATCACAAATAGCGGTCAAAGCGGAAAATTCGACATACTGAATACATTTATGGCTACAGGTAGGAGTCATATAGAAAACCGTCCGTT